AAAACCTGTCTGTTTTTTTTTTTTTTTCCTGGCAGTATCAGTTGGTCTAACAAAAGATACAGCCTCTCCTTACAAGCCTGCTCTGCACTCCTGAGCTCAGGTCATTTATCCTTCCCCTCGTGTTGCTGACAATGACTGAGGCTCCCTGGCTGTGCAGTATCTGGGAAGTCAATGCTGTATCAAGCCCCAGGTTTACATCCATGGCCACAGTGAATGGACTCATTTTACTGGAGAGACTCATCAGCTCTCCCTCCTGCTGCTTTTGGTGCAGGGAAAGCAAAATCTGCAGGTGAACTCCATGGACCCTTCCCTGGGGAGGTGGGCTCAGGCACCCAAGTACCTCCTGGGGTTCTGCAGAGAGAGTCTACCCAAGGGAGGGGAATCCCAAGGGGTTCCCACCAGGCATTTCTCACCCTGGGGAGGCTGAACAACTCTTCAGCTACTTCTTAGCTATTATTTAACTGCTCAAGTTGCTGAGGAGAGGCCAGGAGGTGGCACAGAGGTGGCACTGCCTCTCGAGTCTCCGGTACCCAGAGGCCTTTTGAGGGTCCTGGAGAGCCCAAGCTGCCATCTGACTCCATGAGGGACAGTTTTGGTGCTCTCTGCCACAGTGCCATGTCCTTCACAGGGACAGCAACGTCAACCCAAGGCTGCTGGCCTGGCTGCAGTTGGTGCTGCCCAACAGAGCCCTTCTTGTGACACCACACAAGGAACTGGAGATGTAAGACACACAGAAGGAAGAAGATTTTTCCATATGCCAGTAAAACACTGGCACAGGCTGCCCAGAGAGGTGGTGGATGTACCATCCCTGAAAACATTAAAAATCAAGTTAGATGAGGCTCTGAGCAACCTGGTCCTGTGGAAGGTGTCCCTGCTCATTGCAAGGTGCTTGGACTCAATGACCTTTTAAAGGTCCCTTCCAGCCCAAACCATGCCACAATTCTATAATTCCAGAACTATGCTTAATTTTATGGTCTGGGAAGGCTGATATAATTCAAAGCATAAAATCACACCATAAGGCCACCCTGCTGGCTCGCTGAGCAGGACCTTCACTCCAGGGAACAGCCTGTACCTGCCCACAGAGTCAGCAGGGGCAGGTTTCCCAGTGTTCGTAGTGAGTGGCCACACCACAGGGTTATCACCTGCAGGGAGCCTGAGCCAGGGGGGAAATCTTCTGGAGAAAAAATACACCTCACCTTCCTCACTAACAAGAAAGTGCAAAGATAAAGAGATGCTGCAAAAGAGTAAAGAGCAGATCACCTGTCAGGAGGGAGATCTGTACGTGCTCATTACACCAAAGGACAGGGTGGGTCCATGGAATCATGGAGTGTCACAGGCAGATTAAATGGGCAGAACAAAAATGAAGTTTGGAAAGGGCTGTAAACTTCACCCTCAGGGCTTAAACCAGGTCCTAATCCATGGGGAATCTTTATTTTTGAAGCAATTTTTGGTGCTTTCCCAGGAACCATCTCTTGTTGGCCAGGGTGAGAAAGCAGCTCTGGGATGCTCCAACCTGCCACATCTGTCACTGCTCCGCTCTGGTGTGGTGGATGTACAGGGCAGTGACCTGCTCCATTAAGTCTCTCCGTGCAGGGGGCTATATCCATGTAACTATTTGTAGCTGGAGTTGCATCAATGATCTTCTCAGGGTGGGGGGATAAAATTGAGCAAGAAATACTGTAAAAATGGAAAAAACCCCAACCAACCAAACCTCTTAGTCTGTTCCACACAGTATCTGTGAGTGCATCAGTGCTGCTGCTTGTACGAGCTGCTGGGTGCATATATTTTCCATAATACCTCTCTCAGAAAATATTATTTGATGGCATGTGGTTGAAAAGGGTCTTTTTTTAATATGTGGCACATGCATAAATAAATGTATGTGTGCACTTGCATGTAAAATAAGCAAATATGATGGGGAAGTAGCAAAATAATCATCCCTGGCAGTGACTGCTGGGATTCTGTGCACTGAGCTAATTCTAGATAGTTGGAAAAAGCATTCCTGGTCGTCGGAACCTCACCAGGTTCTCACAACAGCAAGGGGAATTGGTGTCCTCAGCGTTTCTAAAAAGCTCCAGAAACTCAGAAGTCTTTCCAAAATGTGCTTCCTTCAATTAAAAATCAATTAATACTCCCCTCCTTCTCCCAGCGCCCGAAGCATTAAAAAAAAAAAAAAAAAAAAAAAAAAAAAGAAGTTATTTAAAGATCCACTCTTTTCCTAAATAAAGTTTGGATCGGGGGTATTTTCAAATGATAGGTTCACTTCTCTCACTTTTGGCTGTTGCCAAAACAACCATGATTCATGTGAGGAAGAGGAGGAGGGTGAAGGCAGAAATACAGCTCTATTTATGCTGATACTGGATCTCGGGCTACATGATCTCATCTAATTTAAAGTTCCTCCAAATGAACTATCTCCAAGAATATAATTTTAATGTTTTCCTATCAGGCCATTCTTATCTCTCTGCATTACCATGATATCATTCAGGAATAATAATCACACTATTAGTTTTGGTGTCTAAACAAGCTGCCGAGGAGAAAGGCATTTCAGTCACCGCCCTGGAAATCGCTGCTCTCCCCCCCTAAAAAAACAAACCCCAACCCCCCAAAAAAATGTTACAAACTTTGTAAAATCCAACCTCGGGGGGTGCACAGCTGCAATGGACGCCCTTCCAGGACGGGTGATTTCGGGGGAAAATGTAGGTGTGGAGGTGTCGGGGTCTCGAAGGAAATCTTTCTTTTCCTTTTTTTTTTTTTTTTTTTTTTTTTTTTTTTTGTTAGCGGGGGGATATATGGGATGTAAATGAACAAACTGGATCCCGAAATGCCCCGAGCTGATGCAGCGTGTGCTGCAGCAGGCGAAGGCGGCAGCCAATGAAAGCCGGGCTGCTGATTTTTTATCATTAATATTGCGGAGCAACATTAACTGATTGGAAAGACTTTTCGGGAGCAGGGAGAGCCTGCGAGCCACCACTCCCTCCCGAACGATTCGTCTTGCTACCTGCATTTTGGAGAGCGACGCCAGGTCCCCCTCGTTTCGTCTTGGCGAGGGATGATAATTTCTTCCCCCTCCTTCGAAGAATTTGAAAATAAACCATAAAAACAAAGGGAGTTTTGTGTTTCAAACGGCGGAGGGGGGGACGCGCGGTACTGAGGAGAGGGGCGAGGGGGAGCGGCTCCCGCGCGGGTTTCCCCGCGGATGCGAAGCGCGGGGCTGGGGCCACTGCGATCGTTGTTTCCACGCGAAAAGCGGGGTCAAAAAAGAAGTTTCCACGGGTGTCACTCCACCACAGCCACGGCCACGGCCACGGCCAAGCCTGTCGGAGAGAGCAGCGCTCGGAAATCCTAGCCCCGGCCCGACGGGATAGCAGGTCCACGCGTGGCACGAGGTCTCCGACGGGGGTCACATCGCAGGCGACACTGGGGGAGCAGTGGGGGAAGGGGCCGCCTGCACCCCCCCTTATTTTGTTTGCGGGTCCCATATGCACATCAGCGGCTCCCGGGGGTGAAGACAAGCTCGAGGAGCCCACCTTGGGATGGGGGGAAATTTCCCTCAGGAATTTCCCCGCCTGCCGCCCCCGCTCCGGGCACGGCGGTCCCGGCGAGGGCCGGGGAATTCGCCGTGCGTTTCTGGGCGCAACGAAAAAAGCCGCGAGACGGGGTTGGCGGCAGCAGAGCCAGAGCCGCAGGCGCTGCCGGTCCCGTCCAGATGAGCGGGCTCCAGATCCTTTGCACCCTTCTTCCTCCTCCTCCTCACCTACCTCCTCCTCCCCGGCTCCGTACGCTCAGGGCTCTGCCGGCAAATGAAAGTCATTTATTATGAAGAAGAAGGAAATAAGGACGAGGGCGGTTTATTCTATTATTATTATTAATAATATTAATATTATTATTATATTTGGAGGAGGAAGGGGGTAGGTGAGTGCCCCCAAACAGCAGCACCCTGGCACCGAAGGGCCACGGCCGCTGTCCCCCCCGGGCAAGAGGCGAAGTTCCGGGAGGAGCGACGCCGGGGGACCCCCGAGGGGCTGGACCGGCCGCCCCCCCGCCCGTCCCGGGAGCCTCCCCGACATCTCGTTTCTCTCCCCGGTCCCTGTCGGACGCGGGCGGGCGGGGGTCGGGGGCGGCTTTTCGGAACAGGTTTGTTAACCAAAGCAGGTGCTAAAAACCAATAAGCCCGGAACAAACGCGGTCCCCCCCGGGAGCCGGGACAATTGTTTCCATTTAATAAATATTTTCCCCACGGGCGTTTCGCGGGAGGTAGGCAATTATTCAAAGCAAACCGGGACGCGGCCCGGCTCCCGAGGTTAAGCGGGCCTGCGGAGCGGGGAAAGCGGGGGTTGGGGGAGCGGGAGAGCGGCCGGGAGCGAGGGGAAGGCGGGGGTTGCGGGGGAAAGCGGCAGAGCTGCAGCGCTCGCAGCCTCGACGGTGGCGGCGGCAGAGCCTGGAGGGCGCCGGGACCAGCCCCGCTCCTCATATCCCCGGCACGGGCGGGGACGAGGAGCATGGGGACGACCCCCTTCGCCTTCCCCCTTCCTCCACAGCTGCTCTTAGCGCAGCAACTCACAAAAGCCTTCCCTTTAATCCGCGCGTTGGCGTGGGGGGAAGTTCTCCCGTTCCCTCCTTTCCCCTCCTTCCTTCCTCCTCCTCCCTGTGCTGTCCCCTCCCCTCCTCTTCCTCTTGCCCTTCCTCTCTCCCTCTCTTTTTAAGCGGGCCCCCTCCGCGCTGATTGGGCGCCCGGCCGCGCTGTGACCGCCCTGCCGCTATGTCAGCCTGCCCGCCGCAGTCCCGCGCCTTTGAACTGCCCCGCACGGCCCCGCGTCCCCACGGCCGGCCCGCAACAGCGCCCGGCGGCTCGCCGCCCGCCTAGCCGCCCGCCGGGCCCCGCGGGCCGCGCTCCGCTCCGCGCCCCGCCCCGGCACGGCTCCCGCCGGGGACGGCCTTGGCGGAGGACTTGTGATGATCAGCTGAGCCCGCTCCTCCCGCTCCTCCGGCTCCTTCGGCCTCCTCCTCTTCTTCCTCCTCTTCCTCCTCCCGCCTCCGTCCGGAGCCCCGCACGGCCGCGCCGCGCCCCGCACCATCGCCCGCCCACCCACCCGCCCGGCCGAAGCATGTCCAAGCCCAGCGACCACATCAAGCGCCCCATGAACGCCTTCATGGTGTGGTCCCGCGGCCAACGGCGCAAGATGGCCCAGGAGAACCCCAAAATGCACAACTCGGAGATTAGCAAGCGGTTGGGTGCGGAGTGGAAGTTGCTCTCCGAGGCGGAGAAGCGCCCCTACATCGACGAGGCCAAGCGGCTGCGGGCGCAGCACATGAAAGAGCATCCCGACTACAAGTACCGGCCCCGGCGCAAGCCCAAGAACCTGCTGAAAAAGGACAGGTATGTCTTCCCTTTGCCTTACCTCGGGGAAACCGATCCCTTAAAGGCCGCCGGGCTTCCCGTGGGGGCCACTGACTCGCTGCTGAGCTCCCCGGAGAAGGCCAGGGCTTTCCTGCCTCCCACCTCAGCACCTTACTCCTTACTTGACCCCAGCCAGTTCAGCTCCAGCGCCATTCAGAAGATGACTGAGGTTCCTCACACCTTAGCCACCAGCACCCTGCCCTACGCCTCCACCTTGGGATACCAGAACGGGGCGTTCGGCAGCTTGAGCTGCCCCAGCCAACACACCCACACTCACCCCTCGCCAACTAACCCGGGCTATGTCGTGCCATGTAACTGTACCGCTTGGTCGGCTTCCAGTTTGCAACCTCCAGTTGCCTACATATTATTCCCAGGCATGACCAAGACTGGGATAGACCCCTATTCTTCGGCACACGCGACTGCCATGTAACACCCACCCACCCACACCCCCACGGGCGTGTGTGTGCGTGTGTCCCCCACCCCGGGTGGCGGCTGGAACTGGGATTCCTTCGTGTGTGCATGTACATAAAACCTGCAGGAGCAAAAGGCCACCCGAACCAGGACTCTGCCGCCCGCCGCCGGGCCGGGACAGACGCGGACTCTGCCTCGGAGATGCTCTCGCCTAAAGCTCACCCCGAGAGCTGGCCCCACGCTCGGGGGGATCTGCAATCGCGGGGGCAGATAGGAGCCCGGCACTTGTAAGAGTTGTAAATGTGTTTAAAAACAAAAAGGAAAAGCGAAGCTTGAACTGCCCTTTCGGGACAAAGCGGGGGAGAAAAAGAGAAAAAGAAAAAAAAAAAAAAGAGAGAGTGTGAGAGAGGCGGTTTCGATTTTTATTTATTCTCTTAATGTCTATAAGTTCTCATGTCACTTGGACTTGACTTTGGGAAGTCCCGGTCTTACTCTGATTCCCCCCCCCCCTTGTTGTTTTCCTTTTGCACATTTAAAGACGAGATCAGCTGTGTTATATATATAAATATATATATATATTTTGCCACCACGCACTACTAGGTAAAATTGCTTTTCATGTCAGAAAAAGGCTCTTCAAAGTTAAAAAAGAAAAAAAAAAAAAGAGGGGGAGAAACATTTATATTTAAAACATATGATAGTGTTTGCTTAATTTAAAACAGATAGTCCTTAAATTTGTGTGATCCAGTGAGACTAGATCTAAGTTTACTTTAGACAGAGCGTCAGGTATGAAGTCAGGCAGTAGAATTGTAAAAAAACCTACTACTACTACTACTAATATTAATAATAACGAAAAACCGAATAAAAACGATGGCAATTCAAATATGTTTTCACAATGTCTTGGGGGAAGAAGGAACAGAAACTAAGATGTATCCGGCAGGATTTTACCTCGTTAAACCTTTTCATTTGTTGAACAAAGACATTTTGAATAAAGACAATCTGTCATCAAACGAGGCAACTGCGTGGTGTGAGTGCGGGGCCCTGGCCCCGCGTCCCGCACCGGGGGCTGCCCTCGGCTCTCCCCGCCCCGAGCGCAGCGGGTCGGGGCCGGTTTGGAGCCGAGCCGAGCTGAGCCGGGTCGGGCTCCTTTGGAGCCCGTCGGGGAAACGCGGCTGCCGGGAGAGAGAACTTGGGGAAAGCGGGGATGGAGCGGAGCAAAGCCGGGGGGCTGCGGGGGCTGCTCCCCCACAGCCCCGACCCCCATCTCGTCGGGGAACAGGGTTTCCCCAAGTTGCCTCCGCGGCGTTGAAGTTGTAGTGGTGCGAGGAAATATTTGGAGCGGGGAGGGGAGTGTCGGCGGTGCTGGAAGGGGGTGGTTTGGAATAAGCGTCTTGTCCGGCTCAATCAGTGCTGTTCGGGGGGCTCTTCCCTCTGCGGAGGGAGGGAATTGGGGGGCAGAGACGAGGGGAAGGAGTAAGAGGCAGAGGATCCGTCTGGAGGGGCTGAATAGCCGGAGAGCTGCGTGTTTGGATGTGCTTTGCTCATTAAGTGCTCTTTGGAGACCGATGTTAGAATTAAACGGCGTAACACAATTAACATACATGGGGCTTGAATGGGAGGGTAAGCGGGGGAAGAATAGATAGATAAATAAATGAGAGATCAGGCGAAGGTAAACAAAAGGCGAGAGGAGAAAAGGGCTGAAAGGAGAGGTTAGAATGGCTGCTCCAACCTTGTTTAGCATGACAAAACGGCTCTTACAAATGAGGACAATTAAAGGAGCTGGCTTGGGGAGGGCCCGGGAGCCACGGGACGATCCGCTGGGACGCGCGGGGCTGGATGCGACCGGCGTGGGGCGGCGCGGCGGCGGCGGGCGCTGATGTAACCCCAGCTGACAGGCGCTGTCAGCCCGGCTGATAACACCGATAGCTCAGTGTCCTCCGACATCCAGCCGCATTAGGCTGACAATGGTCCCAGGCAGAGCCGGGCGGAGGGAGCGCCGGCCCCGGCCCGCCGCGCCTCGCCGGGGATGGGGTAGAGAGGCGACCCCGCGCTCCCACCGCGGCCCAGCTTTGGGGGACACCCTGAGCCGGGAGCCCCTCGGGGGAGGGGAAGGGCTCGGTGGGGGCCGGGGCCTCGGGGCGACAGCGAGGAGAGGTGGTGAGAGAGGAGCGACAGGGCTGGAAACTTTGGCGGGGATCTTTCCTTCGTACTTTCCCTCTTTCTTTCCCTCTCTTGCTTCTTTCCTCCTTTTTTCCTCTTTTCCTTCCTTCCTTCCTTCCTTCTTTTCTTGTCTTTATTTTTTAATATTTTCTCCCTCTCATTATTCCCCTTCTCTCTCTATCCCCTCTCTCTCTCTCCTCCCGTTCTCTTTCTCCCTACCTTGTTTTCACATCTCTCTCTCTCTTTTCTTACCCTCTAGTCCTGTTCCTCGTTCTCTTTTCCTCGCTCCCTCGCCGTCCCCCTCCCGTCCCTCTCTCCTGGCCCTGCGTTTCGTTCCCGTTCCCTGTGCCATGTTATCCCTCCAACCCTCACACCGGGCTGCAGGTGTGTAGCTATTTAACTCGTGGAGATAAATAAATTAAATAATGATCTTGACACGGCAATGAACCGATTGCTGACTTTGATGTCAAAGGAAAACCAAAAACAGAAAGAAAGGAGGAGAGAGAAAAAGAGAGAGGGGTGAAAAAAGCGCTATTCCCTCGAGGGGGAAATGCAGCTCCTTGTCAAACCTGTTTCCCCACAACTGTCTCCTTCTTTCAATAAAATCATTAAACAAAGGCCGCGGGGTTATGCGCACCACGCCTAGGGTGCGCGGCCGGGTGCTGTCCCGGGCCGGGCTGCGGGACCGCGCCCGCACCCGCGGAGCCGAGTGGGGCCGAGCGGGGTCCGGGGCACCGCGGCCTCGGGCCCGAGTCGCTCCCGCTGCTTTTTTCTTTCTTTTTCTTTTTCTTTTCTTTTTCTTTTTCTTTTTCTTTTTCTTTTTCTTTTTCTTTTTCTTTTTCTTTTTCTTTTTCTTTTTCTTTTTCTTTTCTTCTTCATTTCTTTTTTTCCCTCTTCTCTTCCTCTTTCTCTTCTCTTTCTCTTCTCTTTTCTCTCCTCCTCTTCCTCTTCTCTTCCTCTTCTCTTCTTATCTCCTCTTCCTATCTTCCTCTCCGTTTCAGCTCAGTACTGCTTGCAGGACCACTAAGACACTTAAAATCACCCACCCCGGCCATCCTTTAAACAAAATAACAAATAAGAGAGGAAGAGGAAAGAACTCGGGGGGCCGAAGGGACCGGGAGAGTCCTTGCTGGCGCCCAGGTGTAGCCGTGGGATCGCCAGGGAGCTCTGCTGCAGGAGACACAAAGACAGAGGGGGAATTAAGTGTTGTTAAAAAACTTTATTTTAAAGGACACATTAAACCCATAGAAGTCTCTGAGAGATATTACTTATTTCTGCTTATTAGTGATAATAGCCCAGTAAATTTGCTATTGAGTGTATCAAAGGCATTCAAAGAGACTTTGAAACATCAAAAAGATTGCGATTCTGATTTTACGGTTTTATTCCAGGCCCGACCTCCTGGCTACGTTCCTTGATTGTAGTGTTTAAAAGTAACGCGGTGATCAGAAACATCCTCCTCCGCCACCGACGCTCCCGCAGCCCCGACCGGCCGGGCCGGGCCGGGCCCCCCAAGGGGCCGCCGAGGGGCTGAGGTGGGAGCGGGTCCCGCGGGCAGAAGCGGCAGGAGGGTCCCCGCGCCGCAGCGTCCTCGTTGTCTCCCTTCGAAATCACCGTCAAATCGTTCAGAACGCTTAAAATTTAAAATATTGGGCCAAACCCAACCCAGCCCGCGCTCCTCCCGGTCCCCTCGGGGGGGCTGGAGGAGCTGGCGCCGCTGGAGGACGCGGGCTGAGGTCTCCTCGTTGCTCCACGCTCCGGAGCGAGGCGGCCTCGGGACTTTGGATGTGTCTGTATTTTACCCTTCTTTTTTTTTTTTTTTTTTTCTTCCCCTCGTTCAGTCCTTAATTTTACCATCCCGTCTCTCTTGTCTCCCTTCAGACACCTCTGTTCCAGTTGGGGTGTTTTATACCAACATCAAAGGGACAACCCAGCCTTTATTATTATTATTATTATTATTATTATTATTATTATTATTATTATTATTATTATTTCTTTTTTCCACCCTTCTTTTTTTATTAGGGTTAAAATACTTCATTATTACTGAACGCTCCTCGTTCGGAAAGCGAAACAAGAAATAACGTGCAGGGTCTGTGCAGGTCCACACTGCAACAAGGCAACATGTGTATGCCTAAAAGCCCCGAAATTAAATCCAGGTTGATCCCAATTTAAAAGAGGAGAGCGAGGGAGCGGGAGCCGGCTCTTTGAGTGGGTGAGAGAAAGAGGGGAAGAGATGAGTAGCTGGTAATTATTGAAATATAAGGATGAGATTAATTCAAAGGAAACAAACTATGAAAACAATTGGAGCCGAGTGAAAAGCAAAACCCAGATTAGAATTTGCTTGTGGTTTGTTGTCTATCTGCTTTCTTTCCTCCTCCCCACCCATTGTCACAGTGCAAGGCAATGGGATTTGCACACTTGAGGTGTAATAGCATTACTGCATTAATTAAAATTTTCATTTCACGTCCAGATTGTTTACTTATCTGCTGGAAACATATGTCGGGAGAAGTTGAGATTCTGGATTCTGCTCCGCTGCCCAAGGTGCAGCGCAGTACAGGGGGGGAGAGGATGACTTCAGATTTTTTTTTTTCATTGCATCCTCCAGCCTTATCTCTCTGCTGTAAATTATAAGGAGACTCCATTGAACTGAATATGAAGATTATATTTGCGAGCAGCGCGTCCTGGAGCGGCCCCGGTCCCACTTGGATATGAAACAAGCCGCCTTGCGGGCCCCGAGCCCCCCTCTCCTCCCTCCCCGTGCGGCCGCAGCCCCCCGGGACTGGGGGGTGTCCGCGTGGGACCCCCCGATCCCCGTCCGGTGCCGGGGAGGGAGGGAAGGAGGGAGCGAGAGCCGCGACGCTCCGCGCTCCTTGCCGGGGTGTCCCCTCGCTCCAGCCCGGGAGGCAGCGCGGAGAACCGGGAGACTCTCCCTCCTCGCAAAAGCTGTCCTTTGGAAAGTAGATCCCCCAAAAACACAGCCGGAAGGGTGGGCAACCCCTGGCCCTGGCGGCGGGACAGCGGCGGGGTCGCGCCGTCGGTGCGGGCGCTGCGGGGCCGGGGATGCTCGGGCGGCCGCAGCGCTCGGTGGGAAGGGGCTGTTTATATGCTCGCCCCCATTTTCCCCCCTCTCTTTTTGGGGATGTTTTGTTTTCCTATTTTCTGCCTTTTTTTTTTTTTTTTTCTTTTTTTTTTCTTTTTAAGAGACCCCTGGGAAGGCAGCGAGGTGCCGTCCTCTCCACCCGGTCTATCTGTAATTGAATCTAGGTCAGTTATTCTAAAGCAGGGGAGAGGCTGATTCCCTCTTTCCGACATCAGCCCGGAATTTGGGAGGCGGGGGGAGGAAGGAGAAGAGGGGGGTCTTGCAATTTCATTTAAAATGTAATGGTGGATGAACCGATAAGCAAATGGGGGGGGGGGGAAGACTCTGCTTAAAAGAAAAAAAAAAAAAAAGGCATGCTTTTAATATGCTTCCATATGGGGGGAAAATGATTTACATGGGAGTTTATTTCCTCTTTGCTGATATGAAAGAATTACAGATACAAAACCCACTGATCTATAGAATAAAAAAAAAAAAAGAAAAGAAATGTTATTTTCCTGTAAAGGTATCAGTTCATTTATATTCATTTAACCATCCATCCATCAATTCACTTTCTCACTCCCTGCACATTCTCTCTGCCTCTGGTAAACCTACTCCACCAATATACTTTTCTAGAATATACAATGAAGTTTCCTTAAAAAAAAAAAAAAGAAAAAAAAAGAAAAAAAAAAGAAAAAAAAGAAAAAAAAAGAAAAAAAAAGAAATGAGATGAGATTCAGCTAGAAGTAGGTAAAGTGAAGTTTCCCTTCTCCCCCG